TTCAGCATATGGTCCCTCAAATAGAAATAGCCCATATAATGGAAAATGCTGGCAGTTGGAATGCCAGAGATGAATTTAAAAATATCATGCTCAGTGAAAGAAGATAGACGAAAAGAACATATATTTTATGATTTCACTTAAAATAAGTTTCTCAAAAGGGCAAATATACAAAAATAGAAAGCAGATTAGGGTTTTTTTCTTCCCTTGGAGCCCCCCACATGCTATTCTGGCTGGAGGTCTTTGACTCTAATGAATCTTGCTTTTATATCTCAAAAAAATAAATAAATAAAAGCAGATTAGTGGTTACCTAGGGCTGGCAGTAACTACAGGTAAAGACTGTAAATCTGCAGGAAATTTCCTTCTAATGGGATGGAAATTTTCAAGATTAGATTGTGCTTATAGCTGTATGTGTTTATAAATGCTGCATATAATCTTTCTGAATATAGTGTAATTGAAAATATAATTTAAAATGGGTGCAATTTATGACATTGTTGTAAGATGTGTGCAACCCATTAATTTTGTGGACTGATGTGTTTAGCTATCAAGCCAGATTCCTTGGTAGACCAGATCTTGAATCATTGAACTGTTCTGAGATATATTTGGTGTTTAACTGTTGGTTGAAATAGCTTAGGTTTGATCTCATAGGATCCACTTTTTAAAATTTCCCTGCAGGCACCACTCCTGCATGTACTCATCCTCTAGAAATATGTTAAGGTGAAACAACTTGTTAGGAGGAAGGCTCCAAGAGGCTTTTTTTTTTCTCCCAAAGAAAAATACTGTTTAGTGTACAAAATTATTAACCTACCTAGGTGTGTTATAAAGCTGTTTGAAACATAAATAAGCAACCTTTGTGAATGCAAATGATGGAAGTGTAATGCCAAGTAATTTTGCTTTTAAAGGCAACAAATAAAGATGAGTTGAAAAAAAAAATAGAAATACTTGCCAGTGAGCAAAATAATAATAATTTAATTTTGAAAACAAAAGAAGAAACATAAGACTTAGCATATTTACTTCTAAAATCAAGAATCAAATATTTATTACATTTAGTTAGAATTCAGCATAAGTTTTTCCTTTTTTTATTTATTTGACAGGTAGAGTTATAGACAGTGAGAGAGAGAGAGACAGAGAGAAAGGTCTTCCCTCCATTGATTCATCCCCCAAATGGTCACTGCCTTCCCAGGCCACAGCAGAGAGCTGGTCTGGAAGAGGAGCAGCCAGGACTAGAACTGGCGTCCATATGGGATGCCAGCTCCACAGGCGGAGGATTAACCAAGTGAGCCATGGCGCCAACCCCTCAGCATAAATTTTTTGTTTGTTTGTTTTGACAGGCAAAGTTAGACAGTGAGAGAGAGAGAGACAGAGAGAAAGGTCTTCTTTTTTCCATTGGTTCACCCCCAAGTGGCTGCTGCGGCCGCTGTGTTGTGGCCAGCACTGCGCCAATCTGAAGCCAGAAGCCAGGTGCTTCTTCCTGGTCTCCCATGCGGATGAAGGGCCCAAGGACCTGGGACATCCTCCACTGCACTCCCGGGCCACAGCAGAGAACTGAACTGGAAGAGGAGCAACCGGGACAGAATCCGGTGCCCTGACCGGGACTAGAACCCGGAGTGCTGGCAACGCAGGCCACGGCGCTGGCCAGCATAAGTTTTAAATGTAGACAGGTTGAATTAATATCTGAGCTCTTTGACCTTTGGAATGAACTTTGGTAATTAAATTTTTGAGTTTTATTTTTAACATTAAAAAGTAATATCTGACAAGGATGCAATGATAAAATAAAAGGGTTTTAAATTGTTCAGTTTAATTTCTTTTCTTGGTAGGTAGTAATTACTAATCAAAACCATGGAGAGGAGACTCTTTTTTGTATTCACTCTGGCATTAAGAAGGGGATTAGTTAAAAAAATGTTGCTACAAATACTTCTTTATTTAATTGATTTTTATTTTTAAAACTACATATATATTAATGATTTATTTTTTGAAAGGCAGAGCCACAGAGGGAGAGGGAGATACAGAGAGAGATCTTCCATCTGCTGGATCACTCCCCAAATGGCAGTAAATGGCCAAGGCTAGGCCAGGCCAAAACCAGGTCCAGAAGCTTCTTCCAAGTGCCCCACGTGGATGCAGGGGCCCAAGCACCTGGGCCATCCTGTGCTGCCCTTCCCAGCACATGAGCAGGGAGGCGGACCAAAAGTGGAGCAGCCAAGACAGGAAGTGGCACCCATATGGATGCCAGTGCTACAGAAAGCGGCCCCAGCACCATGCCACGATGCAGGCCCCTAAGAATACGTATACCTCATTGTAGTTCCCACTTTGCATCTTCTGAACTATTTCAAAAGGAATTTAAACCATAATATTTTTAATAGGCCTATGTGCATGTTTCTGTGGACAGTCCACAGACACAGCCCTACCTAATCTTTGTCCATTAGAATACATTTTTTAGGCCGCAGTTAGAAAATGAAAGCAGATACATTTTGAGTTCTTAAGATACACATTGAAAGAGTTACAGCAACTAGAGCACGTAGGGGAAAATCTCATTAGTAGTCTAATAGGAAAATAAAAGAGGATTTTTCATGTAAATAATAAAAGAACTTGTGGAAGTGGTAATGGGGAATTATTAACCTAACTGTAGTAAAAAGTTGCAGATCTGTCTGGGTTTGCTTTGCTAACATTGGATGGAGTTATTACCTCTTTGTGTGGGAAGCAAGGAGGAAAGGGAGGAAGGTCTGCAGTCTAATTGCTCCCTCTGTTCTACACTCCTGAGTCAGCGATCCCTGGAGAATAGGCTCCTAAAGGAAGCCAAGGAGATTTATTCTCTCACTGTGGGGGTGATTGCTGCACTTTCACTCTGGGCTCAGAGACACTGCTGGGTGTACAGGCAGGAGTGGTTGAGCCTGAGAAAGAAGAGCACCCAGCTTTTCTGTCCTTGGAGCCTGGTTCTTCTGTTTTATGTCTCTCCAAAGGGGACAGGGCAGGTGGTGATGGGACCTAGGGTTTCAGCCGCAGTCAGCCATACTTACCTACAATTTCTAAGCACCTCTTCTCTGGAGCACTTTCCCCTCCTCATCCTCCCAGGGTGATGTGCACTAGAGGAAGGAGGGGAGAGTGTGAGAGCTGGCTGTATTTGAGTTTGGACTAATGCCAACCAACTTGACTCCATGACATTTTCTTAAGGTATTATCTGATTAAGGAAGCTTAGCTTTGAAAACCTCTAGGGCGATGGCGCATCTTCAGCCAAATTGCAGTCAAATTGCTGGAGAGACATTAATTCTGTACTGAAAGATGATGACTGTTTTAATATTGGTGAGTGTTCATGATACATATTGTCTTTCTTTGTATCCACTAGACAATTCTCAGTTGCTCCAGCTACCAATGGAGATAGTGGTTTCATAAATCAATCACATCAATAGGTAACTCCACAACTGCTCCAAATCAACCTAAAATAACTTTGTGGAATAAAAACTCATTAAAATCAGAATATCAGTATCTTGGATAGATTTTTTTTAACCAGGGTATGTAGAAGCAGAGACTACACTAGGTACTTACATGAATTAGTGCTCATCCTCATCAGAAGCACATACATTAGGGTACTAATTATAGAGACTCAGGAAGATTTGGAGATTTTTTTCCAAAGTTGTCAGAAGTCAGAAATGACGTTTAAACCCTGATAGAATCAACTGTAAGGTTTGCTTGAAGCTCTCAGGCATCTCTAGTGTTATCTGTGTCTTTAATTTTGAGGCAACAGATGGACAAAGAAATGATGCACTGAAGGTCACGTGTTAATTAGCGTCAGAATAGAGCTGGCTCCCACTAGGAAGTTCCTGAGAGCATATAGGTATTACCAGATTGCAGCAGAATCTATGCAGGCATTTAGTTTTTTGGGAGAAGGTCACCTTGGTGAGACCATTCTGGGATCTTGCAGGATGAACTAGACTGAAGATGAGGAACCACACATCAATAACTGAGTTTCTCCTGATGGGAATCCCTCACACAGAGGGACTGGAACATGTGCTCTTCATGGTATTTTTGGCCTCCTATCTGCTCAATCTGCCAGGGAACCTGTTCATACTGCTGGCCATCTTCACATCCTCCAACCTGCACACCCCCATGTATTTCTTCCTGGGAAACCTGTCAGTGCTTGATATCTTTTTCTCTTCAGTGAGTTCCCCCAAAATGATGCTCTGCCTCATGGGGCAAGACTGCACCATCTCCTTCCAGGGCTGTGCCTCCCAGCTCTTCTTTTACCACTTCCTGGGCTGCACCGAGTGCTTTCTCTACACTGTGATGGCCTATGACCGCTTTGCAGCCATCTGCCACCCGCTGCGATACACAGTGATCATGAACCACCAGGTATGTGCCTTCATGACCCTCGGCACATGGTTGGGGAGCTGCCTGCATGCATCTGTCCTCACATACCTCATCTTTAAGTTACCCTACTGTGGTCCCAATGAGGTGAACAATTTTTTCTGTGATATTCCAGTGGTGTTGACCCTGGCCTGTGCTGACACCTCTCTATCCCAGACAGTGAGTTTCACCAATGTGGGCATTGTTGCCTTCGCATGTTTTCTTCTGATCCTGGCTTCATACACTCGCATTGCCATCTCCATATTGAAAATCAGCTCCTCGGAAGGCAGGCGCAGAGCCTTCTCAACCTGCAGTGCCCATCTCACTTCCATCCTGTTATTCTACGGACCCGTGGTCCTCATTTATCTCCGCCCTGCCTCCAGTTCTTGGCTGGATTCTGTGGTTCAGGTGTTGAATAACATTGTTACCCCTTGCCTGAATCCTTTGATATATTCCTTGAGAAACAAGGATGTCAAGTTGGCTCTGAGAAAGGCACTGATGCAAGGAGTTCCTACTGGTGAAGAATAGCCTTCATGTTGCTCTCTGTCTCCATAGTTTTGCCTCACATTTATCTGGAGACAATTAGTTTCTTACCCTGGATATGATTACTAAATGATGTTTGAGACAAACAGGTGAGATCAAGTCAACTCTGGTGTGATTTATGGCTATACTCATGTGTTTGTTCAATTTCTAATTCAACAAAACCTTTCTTAAATGTTTCCTTGATACCATGTATAATACTATGCACTTTACAAATGCTGACATACTTAATTAATATAATAATCTTATTATGTAACTAATATTATTATCCCAGTTTACTGAGGAAGACATTAGTGCACTGAAAGGACACTTTTGCTGTGCCACAGAGCTAGGAAGTTGATGAACTAGGACTAAGGCCAGAGGGTTTGGATCTTGTGCTGCTGCTACCTGTTTTCTGAGAATTGTAACACAAATATTGACTTCTAATGGAAACTTCCTTTCAATTTACATGGGATTTTTCACCATTTTGCCAAAAGATCTTGCAGTTCATTTGATTTTCTCCACATATTTATGAAATTTTTTATTTAATATTTTGATGGAATACATGTGTTTTAGTCTGATATAAAGAATTCTTGGATGGACATTCTCTCTGTCTTTTTGTAAATTTGCTTTATTATGCTCTTAAACCTGTATATATGAATTACATTAAATTTGTTCACCTTATATAAATTAAAAAAGTTATAAAGAAAAAAAGTAAAAACTATGCATGAATTTCAAATTTTTTATGTGTGCCAAAGTAAATATCTGTTTTTATCCAGGAACTTTTTGAAATGCCATCATCCTGTTCTATAGGTTTCCTTTTTTTTCCATAGAATGTATAATAAAGCTCTTTTTATATCAGTGAACATAGGTCTACCTTATTCTTTCATGTGGGTGAAGAAGTCCACCGTATGAAATACCTATACACTATATGGGCAATTTCCTGTTGATGGACATTTTGAGACTGTTCTTACATTTCTTCATATTAGTGTTTGTGTATGTATTTGTTTTCCTATAGTCTCCTAGCCTATTGTATATAAAAGAAAACCGATTTTATGTTCTTTAAAAAATCTTCTGGAATTAAAAGGAAGTGTTGAGTTTGACTCCTTTGAATGTAAATACATTGGAAAACTTATGTCTTTTAATATACTCTTCCTATAGAGAATAGAACCTAAGTGAGGAAAAATTAAAAATAAGAGTTGGGAATAGAAGCAGGTCACAGACTTATACTATAGGTCCTTCAAATGACTTACAAATTATGCAGTGTCAGAATCACAGGATCAAGATGTAGACACAACACCATCCTAATGGGCTGAAGACCAGTATGGGGCTCCCAAGAAGAAGGAACACATAACTGCTTTCCATTACACCACAGTGAGACAATATGATGTGTGTCTTCAAGGGATCAGAGAAAATTAGCATGCATTTCAATTCAACATGCAACGTATGATAAAATACTTCAGTTTCATTTTATTATCACTTATCTCTAAGGGCTTTTAGTACCCTCGCTGTTATTTATGATTAGGTAAGCTTTCATTTCTGATTAACTGTGTGATTATTTGGTTGCTATATGGGTTTTGCAACAATAATTATGGGTTGTTTGGTGATTTGATATTGTGTCATTAACACTATTTTTGTTTTTACCTTTTCTTAAGTAGTTCTAGTCTAATTTCCACTCAGAAACTTACTGATTGTCTTTTGATTGGGTATTAGGGAGTGAAAGGAATAAAGTAGAAAATTTAATGCTGAGGTTCTTTCATTGTGCTCCTTAGGCCATAGCCTAGAGTATGAAAGATCTAAGCATAGATGTCAAGGTTTCTTGAAGCAAAATAAACATCTTTTTAATTCTTATTTAGTACAAATCTTTTGAAGTATCTTCATACAGATCTCTTACAGATACCCTGATCTTGATGGTGAAATATCCCAATAAGCCCCATATTAAGCTGAAAATCTTGTAAGTCAGAAGTGAATTTAGTCCATATAAGCTCTAAACACCATAGCTTAACAATACCATACATTATAGAATATTGGTTGTTTCTGCTAAAGATGGCAGGACTCACTGGTTACTGTGACTCACTTCTGCCTACATCATGAGAGAGCATTGAACTGTATGTTGCTATCCAGGGAAAAGATCAAAATTCAAAATGTCAAGTATAGTTTATACTAAATAGAGTGGGGATAAAATTGTGTCTTTGCAAAAATTAATGAAAAGAAAAGAAGGGAGGGAAGGAGGAAGGCTGGGTGAGGGAGAGGATGAGGGAAATGTGGTTATTGTCCTAGAATCATACATATGAAATATATATCTGTTCCCTTTATATTAATAAAAAGAAAAAATATAAAATTGTCCTAGAGTGAATTGTTCATGCACATTATTAGCATTTCCTTCTTCTTGGTCTGATAAATCATGTGGTCTAAAGATTGCAATAGATATTATCTATTGGAAATATTTGAGATATTTTTAAAAGATTTATTTTATTTATTTGAAAGACAGAGTTACAGAGAGATGTAGAGACAGAGAGAGTGGTCTTTTATCCTCTGATTCACCCCCATATGGCCAGCCACAACAGCCGGAGCCGTGCCAATCTGAAGCCAGGAGCCAGGAGCGTCTTCCAGGTCTCCCATGTGGGTGTAGGGGCCCAAGGACTTGGACCATCTTATACTGCTTTCCCAGGCCATAGCAGAGAGCTGGATCGGAAGAGTAGCAGCTTTTTCTAGAACTGGTGCCCATATGGGATGCCTGAGCTTCAGGCCAGTGCTTTAACCAGCTGTGCCACAGCACTGGCCCCAATAGTTGAGATCTCATGTAAGTACAAGTATACCTAAATAAATTCCAGGAAGGAAACAAGAATATATTTAGGCAAAAAAAAATCAGCTTTTCTTAGGCACTCCATGTGAGCAAGATCATATGATAGTTGACTCCCATGCTTGGTTTAATCCAGCTATCCCACTACTGGTTATATATCCAGGGGAAATGCAAACATTCTGTCAAAGAGACATCTGCATCTCCATGTTTATTACAACACTAATCACAATAGTCAAGAAATGGAAGAAAACTAGGGGTCTATCCATTGATGAATGATTAAAGAAAATGTGGCATATATCCACAATGAACTACTACTCAGCCATAAAAAGGTGAAATGTTATCACCTGCAACTGAAGAGTTGGTAGATGGAACTGCAAGCTATTAAGTTAAGTGAAATAAGCTATTGGTTTTTTAATTCTTTTACAGTGTTGCCAACTTTTGTCCTTGTTTGTTGTGTACAAGCTGCTTCCTTGCCTTTTTTTTTTTTTAGGCTTAAGCAGAGTTGAATGTATTTGTTTTTTCTTTCTTTATGATCCACAGCAAAGTACACAAAACATAGTAAGGGTAAAATGATTGCTGATGTGAATGTGGGAGTAAGCAACGTACATGCTGAAATTTAGACTTAAAAGTGGAAAAAAGAGTAGATGGAGAAAATGATGTTCTATATGAAATAGATTTAGCAATTATTTTAGTAATAACCAAACTAGATCTTTGTTCTTCAGAATTGATTTGTCAGCTAATAAACATATACAATTCAAGTGTTTCTATTTTGCTATGGTAAGAAAATCACAAGTGTAACTATCAATGTGGAATATCACCCTGAGTAATATTTTAATGCAATCTAAATGGAACAGGAAAATTGTTTTTCAAGAAAGATTTAAATTCATGTTATTTATTTTAAAAATTGAAAAACTGTAAATCAAACCATTGGCATGCCAAGAACAGTCTGCTAGGCATTACATATTGAATTCATACTAGAAACCAAGCTAAACATCTTACGTGGTGACATAAACAGCTTTAATTTCAGGTAGGAATAATGCATGCCATCAGAAAAAGGACCTATTTCTGTTTGCAATTATGTTAGATGATGCTGGCCATTGCTTAAGAATAACAATTGTTATCAAATCAAGGAAATATACTCCTGACAAACGAAAAGCATAAATGAGGGCTAAGGGGCACAAGGTGGATGAAATTTAAGTGTCTAAATCTCTAACGATCAGTAAAAGATGATCTCATTTTTTAAAAGATTTATCTATTTACTTGAAAAGATTACAGAGAGGGAGAGAGACAGAGAGAGAGAGAGAGAGTGATTTTCCTTCTGCTGGTTCATTCCACAGATGGCCACAATGGCTGGGGCTGAGACAGGTCAAAGCCAGGAGTCAGGAGCTTCAAACACTTGGGCCATCTTCTGCTACTTTCCCTGGCTATCAGCAGGGAGGCGGATCAGAACTGGAGCAGCCAGAACAAACTGATGCCCGTATGGGAAGCTGTTGTGGTAGGCAATAGCTTTGCCCACTATGTCACAATGCCAGTTCCAAGGATGTATCTTATTTATCCAGACAGTCAAAACATGGTAGGAAGAACTCGAAACCAGATTCTTGTATTAGAACCAAGTGGATTCTGTCCTGAAATTAAATCAGCATATTTAAGAATTTTAAAAATTGTGTTTATTTGAGAGAAAGATCTCCCATCCACTGGTTCATTCCCCAGTGTCTACAATGGCTGGAGCTGGGCCAGGATCCAGAAACTCAGTCCAGGTTTCCGATGTGAATGGCAGAGACTTAATTACTGGAGCTTTCACTCACTGCTCTGCAGGGTGCACATTGACAGGAAGTTGGAATCCGGGGCACAGCCAGGACTCACACCCAGAGATTGTAATACGGGATGAGGGAGTCCTAAGCAACTTCTGAAACACCAGAGCAAACATCTGGCAAGATCTCTGAGTGTCTGGAAATCTGTTTCAACCTCCAGGAGTAAGAGCTGTGTAATCTTCAGAAAATGATCGTAACTCTTCTGAGTCCAGAATATCATTTGTAAAATGAACTATTTCTAACCTATCCTCTGTGAATATGGTAATTAGTCAAAAAAAGGTGTTTGCCGTATTAGACATTATCTAAATGCTAGTTCAACTTTCCTTCATGAGCTGGTCTGGTTGGATCCTGAGAATGTGAAATATATAGGCCATTTAGATTTCCATATAAAACAA